GGTGTATTGTAAAATATAAAACTAAAAGAGCAAAAATCAAATATCGATGAATCTTTTACATTAGGCCTTGGGGCAAGAATGGAGTTTACTCTGAATTCCACGATGAAGAGATCGAATAACATCATCGTGAATACTTTTTGTTTCATTTCTGAAAAAATCTCTTTCCTAGTAGAATTTTTGTTTTCGTTTTGTGGGAACTGTGGTACGCGATTGGTAAGTGCCTAGTTTATCCAAGCTAATTATGACATGGGGTTACTCTGTGGTCCTGTTGATGCAAGGCAGATATTCACAAAGCGTAATACATAGGGGGTTATGACATCGAGGAGGGGTGAGCTTGTAAGGTTTATATGTGCGTGTGCACGCGCGCACTTGAGGTTTGGCAATTATTGGCCATGGCTCAGGTTTCTGAAGCAGAGCAGAAGGGAAGTACGCACATGCATTCAAAGCCCGAAGACAAGCCTTTGCTCCTCTGTGCTCAATTACCTGCACTTGCCCGCCAGACGCCATGCACTCTCTCTCTCTCTCTCTCGTTTTCAGCAAATTAACCCCCCACTTCTATTATCCCTAGCTTCTTCACTCACATGCATGGACTGAGATGGGCACTCATTGTTCCGCATGCACATGCAAACGGAACTCTTTCTCTCTCACTTCTTCAGAGTAAACACACACAAATTCACAGGCATGCCTATTGTATTGACTTGCTATATAGCTTCCTGGGCGTGGTTTGTGTATTGTGCTATGGGTCGCACTGTAGAGGAGTGAGTGATGATGATGGTATTCATGATGGCATGATGACGAGATTAAAAGCAAAATTACTTTTATTATACCTCAATTACTCCATCTCCATCTATTTAGTAGTGGGAGGGAAGAGAAGAGAACCAACCCCACTTTTCTCTAATGGGAACATACATTAGCATATTGAAAAAGCTACTGTGGATTGGTCCCCGCTTTGTACGAAACATGAAACAATTTCCGTGGACTCTGATACATGAAATCATCTCTCTTTTGTGTCTTAAAAGTAATGAGAGAGAGGATCCCATGCATGATTATTACGTATACACCAATACATATGCTTTGATATTAATTTCTTTCCTTCCTTCCTGTCTAAAGGCGGAGTTTGATGTTTAGACATTGGTTGTTTTCTCTTCTCTTCTTTTGTCGCCTTTAATTTTGTTCACTGATGATGATGCAGTCAGTATATCCTTTGCGGACCCAACAAAATACCCTCCCCGCCTTTTGCTAAAATTAACTTTCTTTACTGTTGGTTTTGTACTGTGTCGTCATCGCCATTGATTTTCTTTGCTATAATAACGTGCAAATTAAGACATTTTAATTTGCTAGTTGCAAAACTCTCAACTCTCATCACAAGAAAAGAAGGGGGGGCCGGGGGGATTCTTCTTTTTTGTAAGGAAAAACAAAACGGCTAATGGAGAATCTTATGACATTGCACCAAATATCCTGGATTTATGTCCAGGATTAATGGTTTCATACATAGTGTTTGCGGGAGCGTCTAGTTTAAGTCCCACTTGAGGTTCGAATTATTGTCTCTAATGAGGTCAGTAGGAACTCTAGTCAAAAAATAATTTAAGTTTCAGTAGGATCTACATTCTCGTTGAGGAAATATGGTGCATATCAGTAGAGCCGAACAATTCCTGGATAAAATTATAAATAATTTTTTTAAAAAATATTTTAAAATATATATATGACAAGAATAACCTTGAATAATTTTCATTTTGCACTTTAAGATTTTTTTGTTAGGTAGAAACAATTTTTATTTTATAAAGTATAATTCACAGATATACTTTATTTAATTTTGAGATCTTTAGCCATTGCCCATTGGCAAGTAGCTTTTAGTTTAAGCCGGCTTTGCATATCATAATTAACCTAACATATGTAATGGGTTTAAATAAGACCTAATTAATGACTGGTGAAATCGACAATTCCTCCATCACTTAAAAATTGTTGGCCCATCTGATATTGGAGGATGCTGTGTACGTGACTTATGATTATTAACCTAAATGAAATTCAAAAAGTCATACGATCGATATATCTCTTTTAAAAACTGGGATAAATTTCAGTAGTATTTTCATTATTGCTAAGTGTGTACATGCAATATAATTTATGTGGTTCAACTATATATAACCATATCCTATAGAGGAATAAATATCCTGAAATGAAACTGTGGGGTACTTATCAGTTCCGCTTCATATTCTTGAATCTTGAGGGTGAATTTTAGGTAGAAAAATGTCACTATTATTTCCCCTTAGCTTTCATGCTTTTGTTCCAAGCTCAAGTCATTCCGTGCCCATGCACTGTCAACAGAGGTTAACTGCCTTACTTTTACCTCTTCTTTATTTGGAATGGGATGATATATATATATAGTCCCCGTTGGATTACACAGTCAGATCCTTAAAGAATCTTTGAATTTGATAATTGAGTTCAAATTTCATCAACATTCTCATTCTGTCATATTGTTTTGATTTATTTCATTGATATAAGATGATTTCTCTAACATGCTTCATATTTTATAGTCCATGCTCAACATATATTTAGGGTATCGATCATTCTAATTAAAAACAATTTATCCATTCTAGATCCAAAGAATTTGAGAGAAATTATAATGGCTTGATATCAAGAAGCTAACAATAGCAGGTTTGAAACCGAAATATCATCTAATTTCAATGTTACTACAATGTTGGAAAACAGTCTTGACAATATATACTCCATCTATGCACAAAAGAAGTAGGGTTTCTGATCTAGGAGTTTAAGATATAGAGAGAGGTAGAATTGTCTCATCGATGATTAATATATATAGCATCATTCCACTATAAAAGACCAGGCACACAAAGTAATCTGCTTTTCAATAGCTACCTAGCATGTCAATATATGTAATCTCATATGGAGTATAATTCAGAGTTTCAGTTAGAGATTTCGTTGATTGACCACTCTTTGAAAAGTGCCTTTGTTTGTTTCTTTTGGAAAACAAAAGAAAAGGCATAAAATTACTAGTATTTTGAGAGAGAGTAGAAAAGACCATGTTTGATGGTCTGAAAAGCGAATGAGCAGCTTTTCAGGAATGAAGAGATCAGGCTGCTGCCAAGAGCTCCTTGCATCGAACCCCATTGTTCCACTTTAAAAATCACATAATTCCTTTCAAGCTCTAATAACAACTATAATATACAAGTATAAATGTATGCAGAAGCTATAGGAGTGTGCGTGATGTATATATATTTACATCAGGCATGGGTGTCACACCAAGGAGAGAGAGAGAGACAGAGAGAGATGATTATAAGAGTCCCGTACAGTACAGTTGTTGCAGGGAGGGTGGGAAGCACATGCTTATGCAAAGGAAAGCCCACGTCGTCGTGTGCTTTTCGATTCTCGGGTTGTGGGGAAACACCATCATGCATGCCAAAGTCCCCAGTAAATGTTATTTATTTCTAATAATTACCTCTTAATTAACAGCATACGGACTCCAATTAATTCCTTTCTTTATCCGGTGATTGTTTAACATTGTGCTCCAGGTACTTTTAAGAAATATTTTTTATTTAAAAATATTATTTTTTATTTTTTTATATCAACACATTAAAATTATATAAAAATAAAATAAAATAATCCAATTAAAAACAAAGATTATCTCACAAACCGTAGCTAGTATCTTATGTTTAAATCAACAGGTAACGTCATTATGCCATTCCACTCGTATGGCTAGCCCTCCAACCCCCCTGCTGTTCGCAAAAGCATTCTTTGAACACATCTGGGAATGTAATTTCGATAGGGAGATACTACTTTTATATTAAACAATTGTAACGTATATGTTTTGCGTTTAGTAAAAGCAATATCAATTTCTCTTCTTTTTTGTTTTTGGTTTTCTGTAATAGCATTAATTCTGTGTTTTTCAAATCCGATGCTAATTAATTAAATGTGACATAAATTGATTAAAGTTGTTTCTAACTAATTTTCTTTTTCTCTCGGATTAAGGTCATCCATGAAGCCCATGTAAGAGCTTAGATTCTTAAATTATACATGCATGTGCTGAGTTGTTTGGGAACTAGAAAATTGCTTAACATTCTGTAATTTAAATCGAAGGAATCTAGCTAGGTCATGGAAGAGTTGTTTTGTGTCCGTATGACTCAAAACTCAACATGTCTCTTGATGAGAAAAAAAAAAAGAAGGTATATTTAATTTACTAAAGAGAATATATATATATATATATATATATATGGCTTGAGGAATATTAATTAAATAGAAGAATGTGATAGATAGAATAGAACGTACCAACTGCATCTTATTTGAAAGGGTAAGACGCGTGGAATCTTTTCAAGCAAGGGGACCAAAATGAAGGAGAGACCGGATCGATGGAATCGGTCTTTTTTAGCTGTCTGATTTCCGCAATAATCCTGATTGTATTGTAAGTTGGTTGTTTTTTAGATAACGTTTTAAACTCCGATTCAAATAAAAAAATAGTCAAGATATTTTTTTTTATTTTAAACTTGATATTTGATGTGTAGATAAACATATAAACATACATATATATATATATATATATTCTTAAGAAGATAAAAAAAAATTATAAGAATATATTTATTTTTATGTTATTATATATTTCTGTCTTGTTGTAATATCCGTGAAAGACTTAACAAGCACAACATTATTAAAAGTTGATTAAAACTCGAATCCTCCTACTCCTGCTATTGTGGCTAAAAAGGAACTTTTTCGTGATATTCTAAAAAGAACGAGCCTTTTTAGTCATTTTGTCCTTGGAACATGCCCTAAAGCCTAAAGGTGTTAATTAGCTGGATGACCTTCCAAAAATTTTATTATTATTATTATCATTCGTATTCCCTTTTCCTCATTATAAAACGGTTAGAGCATAATATATTTCGTCTATTCTTAATTTATAAATTAAGTAAAAAGAAAATTACCCTTCTACCACCTTAAGAATATAGTATAAAAAACAATAAATATTATGGAGTAGTATTGATATTTTTTAACATAACTGACTGACTGGCCACCATCGCTCTTTCTTTTCTTTTCTTTTCTTTTCCTTTCTTTTCTTTCTCTCTCTTCTGCAACTATTTCATCATCTCACAAGCTTCCAAACAAAGAGAATTAATGGAAAGTTGCAAGTTTTATTCTCCTTGTTGTCTTTGGATATGTTTACGATGAAACATCAAATAAAAACCCTTATCTGGTTAATGGGTATCTCTCTCTCTATTGATTCCGTAATTTTAGCACATACTTATGGCAACATCAACTATAGATCCCTCTTCCCAATATAGTCGTTCTAACACTTATAATCAGTTTGGAAACCTTCTTCATATCCATGGCTTACTTTGAGATCAAGAACAAGAATCATCATCATCCATATAGGCGGTTTGGGTTTCCAGCTTCTCCTTGGATATGACCATGGTTCCTGCTCAAAGTCTTTCTAAACAGCAACAGCATCAACTTTGTGATGGTCGTTATTTTGGTGAGGATGTCCATACTTTTAAAGAGGGCTTTGGTCTTATGAGCCGATTAGAAGGTTATGAGTACTCTTGTGTTAGCGAAGCTTTCTTATTAGGATCTGATCTAGTGGTGGCTAATATTCCCATGGCTGAAGATGAATCAAGAACTAACAGTCTTAATAATGAAGCTGGCTCAAGCTCAAAAGATGTTCAAGAAGAGAGACATGAAGGGTGGCTCCAATTGAGTATAGGTGGTCACACAACAACAGCAACACCAACAAGCCGTGAGGGCAAGCACGATCATCATCAACAACAACAACAACAGCTAGTACTTGATTCTACAAGTAGAAGAGGAGGGTTGATAGAGCTTGATCTACTACCAGGTAGCAGTAGTAGAATTTCACATCAAGCAAGGCCATTGAGTAGTCCTGTTTTTCACGTTCCTGATTTTAGAGCTCCTCCAAGGCCAGTCCCAAGTCATGCCACTAATTTTAGCAATACATCTTTATTCTTTCAACACCATCCAGCAGCAACTAGCTCAACCTATCCTCTTCATCAAGAGATAAACTGGCCATTTAGGCCTATGTTGCCTAATATAGCTACCCACCATCCTCTTCTTCGTCTTTGATGCCATTGGGGTCCTATTTTTCGCGTCCGTTCCAAGTAAATAGTACTGGCATGGATTTTGCAGGACCGAGCTCCGACTTTAAAGTAATCGATCCTCCAAGAAGATCCCATCCTGGCATTTGGTTTATGCTACAAGCGTCTCAAAATCAGTAAGTGCAAAAGGAAAAGAGAAGACAAACGAGAAGCACATAGAAAGATTAGCCCCACCATTTTGTTTTTGTTTCTTTCTATCTTTTGTTTTCTTAAGTTAACTTTCAAATGTTTTTTATATCCAATTAGCTGCTTGGTAGTGATTTTTTTTTTATGTTCAAATTCAGAACGAAAGAACCCTTCTTGCCGCAAATATCCAAGAGCTACCTGAGAATCAAGTAACATATTTCATGTTCTCTACCTTTTCTTTTCTTTTCTTTTCTTTTTTGTCTCTTTTTTGGTTCCCCTAATTTTAGGGGGGATTTAATAATTTTTTATATACTAATGGAATTATAAATCCTTTTTGTCCATAGATATAATTTTTCTTTTTTGTTTCGATATCTGAAACCTTAGGGATGGAAGGATGACAGTTCGGTTATTAATGAAGTATCTGGTTAACAAGCTGAGACTGGATAGCGAATCAGAGGTATTTACATTTCCTTTTCTATTTGAATTGATGCATAAAAGTAGTAGTTGATGGTACTGTGCTTTCTATCTTATCTTGCATATCTCATTTACTTAAGATTGGCAAAGGCACAGACAAATAGAAGAACCAAAAATAGGAAACAAGCATATCTGTTCGAATTACTAGTTTTAATTAGACGAATATAGACAAGGGTGGTGTTAGAGAAATGACAGAAACAGCAGAGCTAAATGCGTTTCTCTAGCGGTATTTATTGTGTCTGATAACTTGATATTTAGGTGAGAAGTATATTTCTAGGTAGCCATCTTCTCTTTTTGTATCATTAGGCCATAATCTATTCTTGTAGGGATGGTATAAGAACAAAAATGTTTGTCTAAACAAGGTGTTGAGCCTTCTAAACTGGTCATGAATGCGGTGTTTAGTTAGTTATGGATGTTTTCATTGACAAGATTAAAGAGGTGTAGGGTTTAAGTGTATTAATTTAGAGATAATATGGAGAACTACCTACCACCTTCTTTCCTATGACCACCAAAATAAATTGAAATGAGTGGCCTTTCATACTTCACAAATGGGATTAATCAGTACTATTTTAGACGACAACATTTAATTTACTTATGAAAGTCATGTTTCAATGATCGATATCTCGAACAAATAACGTATATGTGCAACAATAAAGTGAAGTAAAGCAATACTACAACATTTAAGCATCTAGGATGGGTTGAAATGCAAAACCTTGGAGAAGAAACCCTAGTCACAAGCTCGTTTTCTCGCTGTTTTACCCTTTTCTTGCCTGTTTTAAGATAAAGTAGTGCTAGGGATGTCCGGAATTGTCTAGGTAAATTACACATAATCGAGGGTTAGTAGCTTGTTTATCTCTAAGAATTGAATACCGTAGAGGATTTGTCTTGAGTATCTCTATTGATACTTAATGATATTATTCCCCAAGGCAGTACTGTATGTACAAGGGAACTTCTGATTGTGCCATGTTGCACTATTAGGAATGGGATTATCGATATTTTCTCTGATTCTTACATCTTTAACTATTAGGAATGGGATTATTGATAACTTGTCTGATACTTTTATCCTTAATGATTAACAAAACTCAAATCTTCCATCAATCAACGAAGAAAACTGCAATGGAGAAGGGTAATTGATATAGCTGAGAATTATTTCAGTCAATATATTAAGGATTAGACATGTCCTAATTAATATATAGAGTTTGGATTAATTTCCTATATATGTTAAAGCTTATATTTATCCAAAAAAAAAAAAACAACTCTTGTTACACCGCAACTTATTTTGTCAATCTTTCTGTTCTTTAAAAAAAAAAAAACATTTCGCCTATCCAATGCACTACTACAAACAGCTTCACCTTTTATTCATCCAAGAGTGGATTCCAAGCCTCAAAATAGTTGTCATCCTTTAAATAAATTTGGAAAGGAATTCTTAAGATCAGCTAGTTTCGAGTTATAATAAAATCACTGTGTGTACATAATAATTTTACGTGCATTGTATATGGAACAATCATATACATATTAAAAGGTGTATAGGTCTTACATGGAGGCAAATAATTGACGTATGAAAGGCACCGGATATATATATATATATATATATATATATATATATATATATATATATATATATATATATATATATATATATATATATTAACTTTGATTTTTTTCCATTATTAGGGACAATATTATATACGATATAATTTGTGCATGGGATGCATCATTAAAGGCGACTTGAGTTTTCATATCATATATATTCATTGCAGGCATAATTGTGTGTCCATCATTTACACAATGCTTCTCATGCACACTTCACATACCCACTAGCTATTTCTTTCATTATTGCTATATATAAATCAGGTTCCTTACAAAAATTAATTGAGTCCTCTTATTTTTATCATTAAAAATTCAGTATTTTTATTAGACATTTTCAGTTTCAAAGGTTTAATTGCTTGAAATTCGTGTTTCCTGATCTCTAACACATATTTAATAAACATCTTTTACTATCCCTAAACGCATTAAATATCGCTGGCTCAAAAATGCTTAGAGCTTCCATGAATCATATATGGAACGAATCAACTTCAATTTAGGTAAATTGCAAAATGAAGTTTTTACATGGGAGGGTAAAAAAGAAAGCGCGCATAGCATATAAATTAAAAGGTGGGATTATTGATGTATAAGTACCTATTTTCTTAGTACATGTATTTTTTAGATCGGATTAACTATTCTGCAAACTCTAGACAAAATCCTTTCCAGCTGCCAAAAAACTCTAGATAATTTTTCTATGGTCATTTCTTATTTCAAAATTAATAAATTTAGAGAGAAAAACATTATATGTGCCAAAGGTAGATTTAACATAGGGCTAGCGGAATTATGTTTCATAGACAAAATGTTCTTTCATAAGAGTCTCATAGTGTGAAATGAACCTGTGATCTTATTGTTTGTTGTTATTTCAATTCTGTCTCATCAGAAAAAATTAATCTTAATGTTGCGCCATTGATCATACCTTGCTAGTTTACTTTGAAAAATTCTAAAGGCTAATATATAAATATAGGAAAGCTTTACGTCGAAAACGAATTGTGAATTAATTCAGCGACATTTTATTTGATTTAAAATGGTGTGTGCATGTTTTACGTTAGTGTTTGTGCGTCTAGCTTGAAATATAACTGCTAAAACTGAAACTTAATATAGAAATTAGTAGCAATACACTGTACGCGTGCCTGTCATGTGCTTTCACTACTCAGTGTTACGTACAAGTAATTAAAGAAAAACTAGAAATAACTCTAATCCATAAGGGAAAACATTTAGTCATGGAGCTTGTCTTCGGGCAGTAACTTCTCCATCGTATGGTAAAGCCAAAAATTGAATAGAAGTCGAGTCATGTTGATCAATTAATAGTGTTCTTCTAGTACATATTCGATCTTGCGCTGAAAAATATCTCCAATTTGTATTGATGTTGGTGCGATTTTCATCTCAATCACACCTCTTTTTTCCCCCTTTTCTGACAGAAGACGATTACAATAAAAGCTAGTGCGTGTTTACTTGATCTAGCAAGAGCCATCCATTCTCCCTTGACTTCTACGGCTAGCAACGCTTAGGTTTGTTTCTAGGGTAACATACAAGAAAGAGAAGAGGATGTCAAGACCGCGTATCATTAAAAAACTCGAACTCATATATATATATATATATATATAAAAGCACGTAGTGTTAGTTGTGTTCGCCGTTCCTTGTCCTAGGTGGTTATTACATATAGCATGTTTATCTGTTGTCTTCGTTACCTACAGCACATAAATATTCATACTCTTATATTTTGGCTTGTTAGGTTGTAACTTGACATACTCAAAGTTCCATTTTGTTTTTATATATAATGTAGTTTTGAGTATAAGTTTGTAATTAGGTCAACCCTTATCTGATGATTAATTTGGATCATCCCCATATTTAAAAAAAAAAAAATGCTGTTGCTTTCTTGGCATGCCATGCCATGAAGCAAGGAGATATATGCGGTTAACACGATATCTTATTTTATCGATCTTGCCCAAATACTATACACAACAAACCAACCACCAAAAATCATCCGAACTCTTCTTTGTCTCTTTCTAGTCTTGGAGCAGATAGATAGATAGAGAGAGAGAGAGAGAGAGAGCGCATCCATCTGTTTTATATTCTTACCTAAACTAAAGTACACACCTAATCACTAAACAATCATCCATGTTATCAACTATTGTTGTTATCTAAGATAGATGACAAATTCAACATTCTTCTTTGCTTTTATAGAATTAGAACCACCTCTTATCATGTTAATCAAACCAGATGGTTGGTATACATAGGCTGGTCAACATAACTATGCCATCGATTTGGCAAGTTCTTAATTCTTGGTGTTGGATCGATCCACCGCCTAAGTGACATTAATAAAACCAGTTCCATAAAGTTTCTTCTAGGAAGTAATCAGTTCATGCCGTCCAGAATATGCAAGCCATCTTCTTTGAACACAATGCATGCAACGAAGTACCCAATGATGTAAACTTTTCAAGTGGGTGTGAAAGACGAGGTCGAGCTTATAATTGCATCCGAGCATTACGATGAGCCGTGGCTAGCACTGCTAATAATCCTTTTTAGTGTAATTTAAGGAGTCTGTCCACAAATTAATCGGTTTAGATTATCTATGTGAATCTAGATTACTCACTTGATCATAATAACTTGTTTTCATTATCTAGACACACACACCATATAATCAATATGCGAGAAAGCCAAAAAGATGTCTTCATGGTGGAAAGTGTTGCGTCCTTTTTGAAAATTCTTCAAGCTAGCATTGACTTTAAGATATGTATAAAATTATCATCAACTTGGATGTGGATTGTCTTGGCTTAGTTGACACTTACTAACATAAAAAAAGGGAGGGGGGTTGATACTAGCACATCATATGAAATCATATCGTAGGGCCTAAAAAACCACACGTGGAGCATGTATTCATGGAAAACCCCCTCCCCAATCTGCATGCGTTATCTCTCCCCTTCGTCACGCTTTCGCTTCTTTCAGCTCAGCTTTTACCCCTCCTCTCTTTTTCCTTGGGATTATTGTGCTTAAAAAGACCCCATCATCAAAACACCTTAAGTGGTGCGCTTTGATCGAACCATAGACGACCCCATCTTCATCATCGCCATCATCATATCCCTCTCTCGCCAACCACAGGAATGAACTCCACTAAAAGAAGAAAATTTTAAAAAATCCTTTCATGTGTTTTTACGTCGGAGGAAAGCAATGCATGAGTGAATAATCCACAACAGAATCATTCCAAGTTGTTGAAAAAGAAGAAGAATAAAAGGCATTAAAAGACAGATAAGTCTCCTCCACGAAAATAAATTCTTTGTAGTTGGTGAAACCACGATATGCATGCAAAATAAATTAAATATTTAATCCCTTGTAATTCTCAACAAGTACCTGTCAAACAAAGGGTGGTTTGGGCATGTTTTATCTTGCATAAATGCCAAGGAATGAAAATCCAAACACAATATATTAGTTCATGGTAGAATATTGACCGTATGATATCATTAGGGCTATTTTGTTGGTCGACTAAGCTACGTGAAGTAGACGTGCATGACATGAGACTGATGCATGGTTAGGTTTTGTTGAAGCTAAAAGAAATCTTTTTTATTTGTTTATTTTAATTTTTCCGTGGTTAGCGGATCCATTACAAATTCTCCTTTTAGATTATGGTTACCGGTTAGATTATAAAATCTTTGATGGTGTTATATATAGTATAATAATAAAAATAAAAATAAAGTCTAAGCGCTCATGATTTTAGCTTACGAACCAAGTCTAGGTGGGTCCCGTAATGATTAAACCCGGGCAGTGTTTGAGTCGTGGCCTCGTGGGTGAGGGGACGGGCAGCCCAAAAGGGTGGGTTGTCATGGATGACCGCTGACCGAGTAAAAAGAACGGAATTTTAAGGGTAGAGTAGACGTTACAAAGATATACATGTAAGGGGCCACGGCTAAGACGTTACCTGGTGACAAAGCATGACTTCAAAATACATCTCTTTTTTTAATATATATATATATATCTATATTGAAAGAAAATTATGAATATTCAACTTCATATGATGTTCTCTTATTGAATATTTATTTAAAAAAAACCTATGAATCTTCAACTTCAAATGCATCATAAATATTTATTTAGTTATATTTGTTTATACCTATTAATTTGAATGGCTCTATTTTTTATTTTTTTGGGTTAAAAAAATCAAAGTCGCCATTAGCAACTTGTTTGCATTAATATGCATAGATGCTCGCATCTATCGTTACTTCCAGGTGATTTTGGAGTTATCTAGCTAGATGCTTACGGTTTTTTTAATTATTATTATTAGGGATTACAAAATTAACTTAGAAGCACACGATCGAGAAAATAATTGATCTAGACGTGGTAATTTCTAGCTTTCTAGACCAATCGAGGATTAGCAGTCGTGATGCTCTCCCTTGTCAAACAAGAGGAGAGAAGGAATCGATCGGCATGTTCTTGTTTGGACTATTTAGTATTTAGAAGTAAATAATAATAATAATAATAATAATAATTACAAAGAAACAATGATATTCTTCGAATATATATGCACGGTGATATTGATAAGTAGGTATCATTACAATATCAAGCCCTTAATTTCTTGCTTCATGCCCCTGTGTTTAATGTAATTTAAATTATACACCTAAGCTAGCTGGCTAACGTGTCGTGTATTTTTGTGCGTGTGGACGACTATGATTTGATAAAAGCAGATAGAGATGACCTGTAGAGGGCAACAGCTTCTTCCTTTCTTGACACTGCAGCATGTTAGGGATAACATCTGGAGCCCCAGAGATGCACTCACTTTGCTTCCAGAATCCCCAACCACGGATCATGTCATGGTGCTGCACTATGGTAGAACTGCTTAAAGGAGCCCCCCGAAATTTCTCACTAGTTAATCCTCTCTCACTTGTATCGTTGTTTAAGTTATCCGAACACTCTTTTTTCTCCTCTTTTTTTTTTTTTTCCTTTTCCAGCTAATGGGTTCTGCTATTTATTTAATTCACTTCTCTAATTGGAGAAAATAGTTTGGAATACCCCGAAATGATGTTTTCAATTTTGGGGTAAATAACATAACCGAAAATGTATTTCCCAGCTATGCGGGCTTGATGGATATTTAATTAAAATTGTTTTGTTAAAGAGCACAAACTCCATCGAATAATCCTTTTTCTTTATGACTTGTTTTCCTCGGGAAATATTTTTCACATCTTGTTTCTATCCCATGATCCTTTTCGAAGGCCGTGCTGTCCCGAATACTCGTAGTTAAATAAAGCTTGACCAAGAACAAGTCTTAGCCCAGTTACAGCAGCATTCTTGTCCTGATATTACACTGACGCGCTGGGCTTGCCCGTCAACCCTCCCCAACGTCGAGGATTGCTGACTGCAACCGAACTAAAGGATTGGAAACACGCAAGAGGTGTCGTCTGAAAGTCAGAAAACCACCTCCATAACGCCGCAGAACAAATCACAAGGAGAGAAAGGCGAAGGCACATGCACCCCCAGAAAACCACCGATTGGGTTCCAAATTCCTAGTCATTCCCGCACAATATACACAGAACTGCTACTCAGCTTTTCCAAATTACGAAGTGAAGTCTCCATAGGTTACAATGGCAAATATTGAACACTGCTGAAAGCTTAGTAATTTACAAGTTTCATCAACAGATGACTTAATACTGATTTTCAACTTCACTTTATCTTTAAACTGCTCATACTCCACCCATCAGACAGTTCAGATGCTCACCTGGACCTAGTCTGTAGAGGCTCCCCTCCACACGAGTATAATTAATATTGGGGTAATACTAAGGATGCTTAGAATTTTCGAAAACATTCCGTAATGAACATGTCACATCGCCAAGTAATGTAAAAAATCCCAAGCATCCCTCGCATCACTCTACAAATTACTATGTTACCACATATGAAGACATTCTTCAGGACTACAAATCCATTTTGACAACTTTATCAAAAACCACCAAAACAAATCCATGTACAACTTTCATTAAAACATACAGACAAAATACAAGCACAAATATCAATCAGGGAACCTAAGAGTCTTTAGCATGCAGCTCTAGTGAGAGGCAAAGGACGAGGGCCAGGAGCCCAAAAGAGGGATGCATGAAAAGAAATCCATTGATTATAGCATTCAACCAAACTACAGAGGCAATATGTGACATTATTAGAAACCTTATAACACTAACAGAAGAAGGGGAAAGGCAGCTAAACCTTACTAACTTAAATGAAACAATCCAAAAGAATGGAAAACAATCAGGTAGAAATTTAAGATCAAAAGTACCTAAAAGGTTTGTGATAGGTGGGCCAAAATTATAAACGGCTCTGCACATACAATTAGCACCTTCAATTGAGTAAAAAGTTTCTTCATATACCACTCACATTCAAAGAACAGTCGATTGCAGCACTGCTTTTTCCAGCCATGGGTGACAATAACTCTAACATCAAAGATCAGTTCTATAAGGAACAAAATCATTCCAGAGGAGGCAAACACAACACACTTATGATGCAAATGTTTTCCATGTACAGTGCATTGAGTTCTTCATTCAAAACGGATTGTAACCTTCCCACACCACAAGCCAGCACATTATTTGTTAGGAGTCCATTTAGCATACAAACTGTTTTAAGTTGCTTTATAAAAAAATTTAAGTTTCAGCTTTTAGATTCTAAACCTTGCCATCTTCATTAATCAAAGAAATTGCTTTGAGTGTTTCGACAAACATACTTCTAACTTAAACTGTTTCCAATACATGTTCTCTACAAAGAAGAAAATCCTGGAAGAAGATATTTTTCTGTTACCATTCAAACTGTCGAGATTGCACCAAAAAATGAGCCATTCATTAGTAGAACCGTAAGTCATGAAAGAAAATGAACAATTGAGGTATAGTATTGACTTAGAAATACATACGTATAGTTTCATCCTAAAATGTTCTTACAAGCCTCTGAATTGTCCCAAAAACAAATTGGCAATTTTACTTCTCTAAGACAAATTACAATGGATCAATAATAGATTCATCCTACATGATATAAACAAGATACAACCAAGCTCAGATAAAAGTGGGAGTGGATTCAGAGATTTGTTATATAAAACTTTCCTCAAACAAGTGGTGCGTCCCAAGATAAATTTAGCCTTCTAACATAAGGGATAAACAGGTTAACTGGTCGACATGTATGGCGCTTACCAAAGCATGATCAGCATGCACCACCATTTTGGGCTTAAAATGGAAAATCAGCCAACGAATCCAAATGGAGTTAAATATTAAAAGCAGTAGTGGAGTTAATCATCGATATTAATGAAGAATACAAAATTTTGACCATGGTAACAGAGGATCAGTATGGCAAGTCTAATGACACAATTGCATAACCTTAATAACAAAAAAAATTAGCACTCACACACAAGCATTAAGCCAAAAAAAAAAAAAGATAGCAACGATTACACAAACATCTCAATCTCCAAACATAGAAAGATATAGTTTCAGCATTTAAAAAGATTACACCAGAATCAGACAGAGAAATGACTCCATAATAACTATATTAGGAAAGCACATCACATAGATAGGAAAGCCAAATAGCACTGCTAAGAAATAACTATCTTAAAATGCGTGCAACATGTACCTGTCCAACATGTGTGCTATAAATATGAAATGAGTGATAAACTTTCCATCTTCGTCTTCCAAATAAATTAACCTCAAGCTGATCATGAAATACTGTAGAAAGTACTATCAAACAAGTCAAATGCAAGATTAAAGAAAAGGGAACAGCACAGACAAGAAATAAATACCAAGAAACTACCACTTGATTCCAAGACTATACCATCATTGTTATTAGTCAAAAAAGATATAGTTCAAACCATCTCAGACATGCATTTTTGTCTATTATCACAATTCATCCATGACCGAGGTTTTTATACTAGAAAAGAAAGTTACACCAATTATACTAAAAGATATAAACTCAGGGGAAAAAAAAGAATAGAAAAGTTCATAACTCACGGAAACCCCTTTCGAAGCTTTTGGATTGCAGAATACAGTTTCCTTCTTGAACCAACCGCGTTTATTCCCATATCTTTCAAGTCCTCCAATGTCAACAATGGCAACACTTCATCATCCACTTCATGTATCTCAAAAACCGGCGCGTATCGACTTAAACCTAACTCAATCAGCCAAGTCCTAACTCCTTCCCATTTTCGCTCCGAAATATTATCATTATCGTTATTCTCCATTTCTATTCCTTCATTTTCCCTACTCTCTGTAACCCTAACTCGACCAGAGCCCGTAACCGTTCTCCGATTCCCGTGCCAGAAATCTAAACCAACATTATCAGCAGAATGGACTGGACTTTGGTCTTTTGTAGGACTGTCAGAATCAAGATCGAATTCCCGAACAAACCCTTCCTCTCCATTTGAATTCTCCAAATTATTATCTCCTTCTTCGATTCTTGAATTCGATGAAATCCAATTCGATCTCACTCTCTTCGTTGTCGCTCTCTTCGCTTTCCTTCTATGTCCGAATTCGACAAGATTCAACTCTCCGTTATGACTATTTTTAATGACCTCGTGTTCTTCAATCTCGTTGTCGTTCCCGTTAACGAGATGAGTTAAAGAGCGTGCTTTGATTGATTTTGAAGACTCTTTAGGGATGCGCCACGTGTTGTGTTGCGGATGCAGCAGCTTTGTTGAGCGTCGCATGTGCGATTCGTATGCTGTTTGATGGTGATGGTCGCCGATCTCGCCGAGACGGACGCTTGGTCGACGTTGCCGTTTGAGTGCTGGTGGCGGTGGCCCTCGGTTTTCTGATTGAGCTAGAGCTGTTGTTGTTGCAGTTGTGGTGGGCTCTGTGGCGGTGGGTGCTGTTGTGGTAACAGTGGCGGTGGTGATTGGGCCTTCCGGTGGAAGTAACTCGGCGGCCATTTTTGATGAGAGAGTGAAGTGTTGTCTGTTTAGACTGAACTGTGCGTAGGATAAGGGTTTGGATAGGGGAATCTGGTGCTTTCTGGAGTATCGTGTGTTTTTATTCTGGACCGTTTGATGAGGGATATGGCTTTGGGTGATTAGTGAAGTGACCTGAGGATTTTTAAGGAAATATCTGGGTCCCGGCCAGTGACACGGGAAGTTGCTGTGCTAGGCCCAGCTTGACGTTCTTTCGATTTTGGGCTGACAAGGCTATGTTTGGTTACCCAAGTAAGAACTCATTTCAAAGAATAGGTACATCAAGTTTTCATGGTAGTGTTTTTCTTATTTTTGGTTATGAATTTTATCACAATATCTCAAGATTTTTTTTCTTGATATTATAAATTAATGAAGAATATGTGATGATTGCTAATACCAGTAAATTAAGTTTTATAATTTCATCTTTTAAGAAAAAATCATGTTAAAGTTATACTGTATTTATATCACATGTTTCATATATTTAAAAAATTAGTTGGTTTATTTTAGAAAAATATTACCAGTAAATTAAGTTTTATAATTTCATTTTTTAAGAAAAAATCATGTTAAAATTATACTGTATTTATATCACATGCTTCATATATTTAAAGAATTAGTTGGTTTATTTTAGAAAAATGTTTCGTAATATATTTTTTTAAATTGAAAAAATAAATTATAATCGTATTGTATTTTTTTTCTTACGTTAACTCATTATAAATCAAATTATATTATGACTATACAAGTAGAAAGTATAATTGCTAGTATTTGTAAATTTTGAATTTATATACAAAAGTCTGATTACCATTAGTTTAATGAGGTTCTCTGAACCCTTTCCAATAACTCTGGCAATTGACAATAATGAAGTTGTATGCTGACAAAGTTTTTACTGTATAAAATATATTTAAAAAAAAATGGGTGAAAATCTATTAAAAAAAAGGCATGCATGATAAAACTTCTTGTAAAGTTTTTTTCTAGCAAAAAGAAAAGATAAATAATAAATTTCCAAATGTAATATTATGATATTATGAAAAAAAAAATATAATGAAACACAAGCTTACTTGAAAGAAAACTCAATAAATTTAACATGCGAATCTAGCAAAAGCATTATAGAATTATTGGTAATTTACTTTTCAATGAATGAACGTATTTGTAATTTTATCTCGTCATTATTTTATGCAATCGTAGTTGGGGCCACGAATATATTAATTATATATCATATATACTATCCTCTACCAACCAAGCCCGTCTAGCTCAGTTGGTAGAGCGCAAGGCTCTTAACCTTGTGGTCGTGGGTTCGAGCCCCACGGTGGGCGAATTGGTTTTTTTACTCTTTTTCGCATTCTTCCCGTTCCACAGAACCATAATCTCGAAATTTTATTTTCCATAGAAATAACAATGTTTTTCTTTCTTTTTTAAAATGAAAATATGAAGAGACAATGCCAAGCTATGCCAACCTGATATGAGCTGGTTATGATTATCAGAGATTTAATTAGCTCAAGGGTCACGTAGTTTTATCGATATTTTCTTATAAATACGAAAACTATAATCTCTAAACAAATTACATTCCTGATTCGTGGATCTAATAAGGTGTATATGGACCTTGAGAAATAAAAAAGTTATATTTATTTTTTTATTTTAAAAAAATTAATTTTTTTATTTTAAATTAATATTTTTTAGTGTTTTTAAATCATTTTAATGTGTTAGTTTTTAGTGTTTTTAAATCATTTTGATGTGTTAGTGTCAAAAATAATTTTAAAAAATAAAATAATATTATTTTAATATATTTTTAAATAAAAATTATTTTAGAAATAATAACAATCACATTCCAGAATAAAACCAATGAATTTTTTAATGATCAAATGATGGGTGACTGATAGATATTTTTTTAAAACTTGGGGGGTAAACCAAGACATAAAAAAGGTTTAGTCATCAAATTGTTTAAGTTCCATGACAAAAGGGGGCGGAAGAAAAACATTGAAAATGGGATAAAAAATTAAAGAGGTCACTTGATATGAATTGAATTTTTTACCTGAGGCTGTGACAAGAAACCTCGAGAAATAAACTAAAATTTACCTCAAATGTAATTATGTTACTATTCCGTGGCACGTTAAAAAAAATCTTAAAAGAGGAAGGCCTGTTCTGCATTGCTAGAAATGTCTAAATTCACTGTGGATTTAAATTTAAATTGTAATTTTTTATTTTATTTTTTCCTTTGAGCTTCTCTTTCTCTTTAATTGCATTAATTTGAGACCAAATTAATGACTAATCACTCCTGGATTATTTAAAGATTACATAACTCATAGAAAAAGGATCAAAACAAAAAACACATGAAAGTCAGGTGGCTGGTTACATATGGGCACAAAAAAATTATTTCCAGTCTATCTACTTTGCTTTTCATTGCTTTTCAGCCCTTTTAGTTTTTTGAATTTTATTTTGGTCCAGAATTCTATTCTCTTTATTTTTTTAATTTTAAATTTGAGAGATAAGAAATGAAATTGCTAAAAAAATAACAAGTAAAAAAATTTTTATCAATTAATCATATTTTAATTATAAAAAAATCATTATCAATGTCAACATATTGTATTTGACTATAAGAGTTTTACCGGGGTGTTTTATACCCTTTGTCTTGTCAAAAAAAAAATAGAGATTAAAGTTAAGAAATGATTTTTCCTTTCAGTTTGGATTTGTGCTTTAAAACAAATTCTATGTTGTTTTAATTTATTTATCAAGAAAATTGTTTTAATGTTTTTAAATAAAATTATATTTTTGAATAAAAATCATAAACTTGATTTTTCAATTACCTTCTTAGTTGTTAGAAATAAAATGACAGATAAAACATTATCTATTATTAAAAAAACATGTGATGGATAACATGTTATCCATCCAAATCCAGACATGCATAATTTATTTTTTACTTTAACTTATTTATTTTTATAAATAAAATTTAATTAAAATAGATTTATTATGGACTTATTGGCTATTCAATTTTAATTTAGATTAATTAAAATAAATAATTTTTTTGTGATGGTTTTTCTTGAAACATTATTTTATTTTTAATTGGTTTTCAAATTACACTGAAACATTTTTTTCTCATATCAGTTAACAATTTTTTAGCATCCTTACATGATTTTTTTTATTTGATTTCATTTAATTTAATTGTTTTTTTATTCATATCTATTTTTATTATTAATTTTCATCCCAGTCACTTTTGGTTTTTTAAATATATCTCGTAATTACCTTGATTATAATAAAAAAAAAGAGATGAAAATATAAAAAGAAAGCTGTGACATCTGTTCAAAGTCCTAATTAAAACTAAAAAACCAAGACCTGTTGATTTTTGCTGAGAATGACAAATTTACTTTCATATTATTCCGATCAACAATGTTTTTTTTAATCCAGGGCCACAGTTAACCCTATGCAATTGAGGCTCAATTTCATACGTTCATATGCAAAATTAAATTCAATGAGTTCACCCAGTAATTTATTAACTTGGAATTTGATTTAAATTAAGTTTCGTTTCAAATCGAGTTAGAGATAAACTCGATTAAAACATGTTCACCAAACTAGGTGAACTCTAAGGAATTTTTTTAAATTCTTAAAATATTATTATTATTTTTTTAAAAAAAAAAAACCAAAATGTTTTTACTTGTTATCTGACAAGTAAACTGTAACCCGGACCTTAAAATGGGCGGATGAGGAATGGAGCCCACACATTTGTCAAAGATCACCTTAAAGGGCCCGGATAGGGCCCGAACCTATTCCCAACATCGCGAGGCAGCCTAAAAGTCTATTATTCCTCACAAGTAAAAAAGACAAATAACGCATGCATTAAATCTTGAGTTTTGGCCCTCCTCCTTGTATAATTTTAGCTCCGCCTCTGTTCTCTAAGACAAGCCTGCACATATGATGTTGCAATCCGACAATGACACTCTCTACAAAAACAATTTGTTTGACAATCCAACATGGTTTACGAGGCATGAGTGTGTGTTCTGAATCTCAGAAGATCACGTGATTTACAACCACTGAACTAAAATGAAATATAATTGTTGTCACTCGTTGAACACAATCTAAAAAATTAGGAACTTGAAAGAAACAGGCATTTCTGCAGGTGGTGTCGTGCATCTGATTTTCCACTAGAAAAGATGCAGATTCTCTAATCCATGCCGGCAAACAATCTGCCATGCCCTTTAGTGTTATAAATATTTGAATGAGCAAAGCGAAAATAGGAATATGGAAACATGGTAACTAACAAATCTCATTCATATTAACTTAGACTTAGAATTATAATAGTCTGAACATATATTTATATTAGTTTATAATAATTCAAGAAATTTAAAAGATAAATATATTTTTAATAGTTATATGCATATACCTAGAAGATATCTAGGAGAATTAAAAAACACCTCAAATGAAAACTTCAAAATCAATTCCAACACTTTGGAGTTCTGGATTCCTCACAAGTGGGATTATCAGAATTGGGAACGTAATTTTATGATGTTTTGCCTTGCATTTGAGTACTGCTTTGATAATGCTCATTAATAGTTCTTGAGGTGTGGCTGTAACAATGAAGCGGTTGCATCTGTTTTCTCAACGAGAGAAGGGAGCAGGGAGGATCCAGATTCTAGAATAGACGGCAATTGAAGTTCCGAGATAAATAGCTCCTGGAATTGGCATGTTGATAAGGGAGGAATCAGTTATACTACAGGAGAAGCTTTGAAATCTAAATAACATGATAAATATTTAATTACCTGCCATGCTTGTGTCTCCCTATTGAACTTCACGTCAAATTCATCAATGAACGCTCCATTAAGCAAATCAAGTTGTGCTTCAAAAGACTGAACAGAGAAATGATGAGATTGCTAATTGCGGTAATTGATAGCATACCAATATGAAGGGGCCATTTTAGGCAGTGCCTTCATTAATTCTTACCTGCACTCGATCTTTTAGAAACTGAACGTATTTGATTATCTCATCCAATACGAGAGCCTTGCCAGTTATCTGTTAATTATGTGACAACCAATTGAAATATACAACAGAATAATATCAATTTCGAAATAATTTTTTTCTCAAAATCGGTATTAGCAGACGACTTAGAAATTATATTTACCTTATCACATCCAGGAACTAGAGATTGCAGCAGCTTCATCCTTGTACTGATTTTCTCTCTTCTCACCTTCAAAACCATGTTTCATAAAGAATAAATAAGACAATCTGGCCGCTAATTAATTAAAAGCCAGCAGGTTCAATTAATCTGTCCTTTAATCAGTTACCCTTTCAGCAAGGCTATGACTGTCTGTTGCTTCACCCCTTCTTGCCCTGACGTGAACGTAGCCTGTTGGAGGCTCAACAGGAACTTTCTTCTGTTTTTTTGCTGGCCTTACCCTCTTTGCATTTCTTGAGACAGAACTGTCTGGGTTTAGTTTCTGCCTTTTGCTTTCTCTTTTTACCTGATCACAGCCAACGAAATACAATAATGTCGTCATCAACATCAATCATATAATTTTCATGTAAACGACTGTCATGTCTTAATGAAGTACTAGAGTATTGAGTCTAATACCCCTAATTCATTAACTACCATTGTGTTAAGGATATTGATCAAGTAATTCTTACATCTTGTTCGTATGTATAATATATGTGCAGTATAAGCACCATTGTAGTGTATTCGTGCTGTAGCATTTCTCCCATAGGATTCTGTCATAATTTTTAAATAGGCGTGGATTGACAGGCCAACATTTTCTTAATTAGGAAATTTAATATCGCGGCTCATATGTACCTTTATGGCTGGCGACGAGTGCTTTCTCAATTGCCACAATGTTGGAGTCATCGCCTGACTAACTTGATTTTCTTCGCAGTACTGAAGATCAACCACCATGGACGAACTTGAATTATGCCTTGCAATCGTTGAAGAGTGGTCTATAGTGCTCATGAAAGGGACTTTCGCAATGCTGTTGTCATCAGCATGGATAGTTTCAAGGATTCTTTCAGCATGCAAAGGGCCCTCCTGGAGACATTCATATGGAAGATTTGGAGAAAACAAAGCTCCGCTTGCGATATTGGTGTTTGAATCGAGCTGAAACTCGTCAACAACAGAAGCAGGATGCTGTTGCTGGTAAGAAAAAACTGCCATTTTGGGGTCTTCAAACTAAATTCTAAGTTGGCAGCAAAGCAGATGAGAGCTGGCACCTGGCAGGAAGAGTAAGGGAACGGTGGGTCTCGAAAAATTAAGAACCAATATATAGACGCCAAATACTCGAGACGGTGGAGTGTGGTGGAGTAATTTACTCACAGGATATAAGGTTATAACAGTAAATAACTTTTTTTTTATCTAGTTCGTGTTTTATATATAATTATTTCTTATATTCTATAAACTAACTAGTTGATTAATTTTAATAAACTATAGAGCATTGAGCAGCTATGATTAACTCATTAACTAATCGAGATCTTTAAAAATGATGTAAAACGTGTATAAACCACATGGTAGCCACTCCCAAATATTGTTGGAGTCCATGTACTTTTTTTTTTAATATTTCAAGGATCCTGGTATCATCATTTTTTATATTTATTTATAATGTTATATGATTATCTTCATTAAGCAATTTCATATAGACAAGTGTAAATTATAAGAAATTTTAAGCATCATATTAATTATTTTTTATATTTATTTTTAAAAAATAGATATAATTAGAAAATAAAAATTATAGGTGATCAAGATATTCTTAATACTTTTGATGTATTATGAGTTTTATTTCTTCTTTTTTTGTGTTTTTTTTTTCTAAAAAGATAATTCAACGGTAAATATTTTTGTAAACTACCTACAGCATGTAATATTTCATTAATGTATATTTTAGTTCTTAAAAAATCTCAAATATTTAACTTATATCTAGAGAGAGTGAATAAACTCATTTAAAATGCTAAAATCACCTTTCACTATAATTCTCAGGTATTCGTATTTAGGCGTTTACTACAAAGACGACAACTTCCTATGGAAGGATAGTATTCATAAAATGACAACACTGAGAACTCAAATTCAAGAAAAAAACAACTAGAATGAATGCCTGATCAGCCTCCCTCCCTGCCTGCCTGTTAACTCTATAACACTAGCACATTTGAATTGCCGTACCTTCTGGAAAGCCTTTTCGTGTTGACCTGAATTTATTCAGCATTTGCAATCCTAGATACTGGTGCTAAACCAGGGGTTTTGCTTTGGTTCGAAACTAGGAGGAAATTATCGCCACCGTCCAGATTTGAAGTTGCTGGATTATCAGCCTGTTAAACACCGACCACTAGAGAGATCCGACCATCAAACGACCAGCAGTATGAGCATCTCTTAATTTATGCGAGCAGAGGAGATGACCCTTTTGCTTCGCTATCCTCTGAACGACACCGATTTCGGCCATAATTTTGTAGGACAGAAGGTGCAGGTATGCTATATCAATGCTGAACATGAGATAATTCATGTTTATATGGTTAAAAAATAATATAAATTATATTTAAAAATTTTATTTAAAAAATTAAATTTTTAAATAAAATAATTCTTAATTTAAATTTTTAGATAAGATGATTTTTTGATATCGTATCAAAATCTTAATAATTAAATGATTTTAAGTTTAAATCTCATTATCTCCATTTATTTGATAAAAATTAAATATAAGTAATTTTTAGATAAGATGGTTTTTTGATATCGTATCAGAATCTTAATAATCAAATGATTTTAAGTTTAAATCTCATCATCTTCATTTATTTGATAAAAATTAAATATAAGTTAATATGAGTTTTTATAAATTTCAAGCTTAAAAAATTTTTATTTAAAAAAATATATTAAAAAATAATATAAATCATATATTGAATCTCATCTAAAAGCTTATGGTTTTTTTGATAATATTAAATAATTTTCATTTAATTATTTGAATAAATTATAATGACTAACTTTATACCTTTACAGGACATCCGATAGAATGCCATATTTCTATTTCATTTGGCTGCTCGTATCTTAAAGATCCCTCCGCATGCGCAAGGATTACGGATTCTCGGACCCGACGAAGATAATTTGCAAATTGTTTTTTTTTCTAAACAGCGTAATTAAGGGAGAAAATTTGTAGAAATAATTCATTTATAATAAAGAAAATTGCATCATTGTAATTGATGCATCAAACATATTCTGGAGGCTATGGGGCGCTATTGGGAAGCAATATCTGTGGATTTCATGGCAGCAGCACCTCACAACCGCTGTGAACCCTTCCTTCTATCCATATCTCTTCCTTTCTCGAACAGCTAAACCACGTTTCCCTTACTTGTGTTTTATTATTCCAATCTGTCAGTATATATTAAAAACTTGGAGTGTGAAAATAAAAATAAAAGGCAAAAGGAAGAGGAAACAAACTCTGCGAACAGTCCTTTCTGCATTAAGAACAAATAGATAAAGAGAAACTCGGAGACACACAACCTGCTGATGCAGCCCTTCTTTTAGCTCCATTAATCACTTCCCCCTCTGCTATATCAGGCTGCATGAAGGCATGAGAAGCATTTAAAAAATAAAATTGAGGAACATGCCATGCTATCGCTTGAGAAAGAAAATATCAATGTGTAAAAAGGAATGCTTACCGTTGTTTCTGGGCGTAAACCAATACTTTGAAGCTCGATCAACCAAAAATAACAAAACATAATATTAGTGCCAGTAAAACTAGTGCAACCAAAAAAACAAATATTTGTTGCGCCAGATCTATTAGCATAACAAAGAAAATGTGTTATTTACTCAATTTTTTCTCCTTTGTGCTAGTTCTTCGAATAATTTTGCTGATTGTGCTATTTTGAAAGCAAAAAACCCTCTTACCTTTTGCATTCAGTTTTTATCTAAAATAGTTATGAATTTTTTAAAATAAATAATCTCATGAAAATATATCATTAATGTTTTATAATTTAATGGAAAGATGTCTGTTTTAAAATCTATTTAAAATACAGTTTTTTTCAAAAAAAAAAACAAAATTATATCATTTTAAAGAGTTGTGTATATTAATTTTAAATAAAACTAATATTAAAATTGTCTCTGTATACAGAAACAACTCTGACAAGGCGTTGAAAGTTAAGAAAACTTATGCTCCTTTAAAAAACTCTTTCCTTCTGCAAACTTTCCTGTCGAATTTTCAATGTTACGATTTAGATTAGAAAAGCGGGTGCCGAGTAGCAATAGAAGAGCTCCACCCTTTCCTACAGAGTAAATGTATAAATTTTGGTTTATTTTTTTTATTTTTTTTATTTTTGGTTGTGTCACCAAGAATGAAAAATTAAATAAGTATGAGAAATAATATAATAATTACACTATTAACACCGGTAAACAAAAAATAATTTTTTTTTAAGATTATTGTTCATTCTCACTCTTATGTTTTGAATTCAACAAAACATAGCTGGCATATAAATCAAGTACCGTATGTTGACTTATATTCGTTTTGTTGAAACCAAATCATAAAAAGTAAGAAGGAACAACAGTAAATATACTGGGTAAGTAAAACCTCAATATAAATTGGATTTTTAATTAAGTAATATAATTCAAATAATAATTACGTTTCTAGTGTTATTTATAATCAGTGAAAGTTCAGTCTGGTGATACCTTTTCTTGTGAAAAGAAGGAGCTCCTAGTCTTATGTTATTTATTTTTTAAAAATTATTTTTTATATAAATAAATCAAAATAATTCAAAAATATATATAAATTTAATTTTAAACCCAAAAAAAATATTTTTTGTCCGATCTCTATTTGAGACGCAATCCTAATCGGCAATCAAGAAGCCACTTTACATGTGATAAAATTCCATCAACTCCACTAAGAATTTACCATATGACATTGGGGCTAAAACAACCAAGTAAAATTAAACGATAGGTGAAAATTTTCTTCTAAAGATTACTGCTAGAACTTTTACGCAACGCTACTGTGTCGGCGCCCAACCTTTCAGAAAGCTAAGTTTAAGATCAGTCGAATTCATGAAACATCACGAACATTCTTGGAAACAGATTGAATCAAAGCAATGAAATTTAGTCAAACAAAATCAGCTAGCGTATTCATGAAATTACCGACGAAATTCAGCGCAAGTCAATCACGTTTCTCGTAGGCACTGGCTTGGTTTTTGCATGATATACCAGTGAACGTAAAGACATTTAGCACTCACAACCTAATTTATTTAACAGAGTATGTCACAAAGCAAAGAAATCATATGGTTTAAAGAAACTTTGTGCTATATATATACGTTCTTGATCGACACAGACACGACACAAGTGATATTGAAGCGTTACATTACAGTTTTGAAAGATTAGAAGACACGACACAAGTGATATTGAAGCGTTTGACATAGATATCTGTTGCCTATAAAATCTACTCCAGACACCAGGAACTCGTCCTTAAAAGAGTTGGGTTATCAGACAAGGCATTGTCCGCTTCTTCTTCTTTCTTCTTTTTGAAAAAAAACATTAATATAATGGACATGTCTTTTTCTTGTACATCCAAAGTCAGTGAATGGCACATGGTTCATGGATAAGTGTTTATTTTGAATACAGATAAACTTAAAGCGAAAAATGAGCCATGGAGAGAGAAGGCAATGCTAAAATGATCAGGAGGGGAAAAAAAAGACCAAAATGAGAAATGTGGTGCCTGATCTGAGTAAAATAGAGTGCTAGCACGGTAGTATTGCCTTGTATTCAACCGTATTATAGAGCAATTGGCCCCCACTCGCGCGCTGCTCATTAAAAACGGGAAGAATGCTTTCAAGAACGTAAGCATAGCCGCCGGTAGCTGTTTGGTTCTGGGAAAAGTAAGGTTGTTCGCGTTGGACACCAAAAAGATACTATCTGGGAAAAAGATTTTTGGTAGAAAGCGTTCCAACGTGTCTAACATGTTTTTGCCTAGGATCGAAGAGCTGCTGGCGCCATACTGGCTCCTAGGATATATTGCTTTGAAAAATTGGAGCATGCAACGGAATTATCAAATCTTTGCAGTAATGCCATGCGCATGAGTAGGCTTTTTGACGAGAAGGATACAGCTATATACGGGTCGTGCTGGAACACTGACGTCTTTTGTTCTCATTAATTATTTGGATTGTTATCATTGTGCTGCTTAAATCTTTTGTAGGAATATTTATGAATAAACGGCACAGAGTTAAGCCCCGGCCTGTATTGCACGAAGCAATTAATTGGCCTAAATCCCATTATTTTCTATTTAACTGTTGGATCGTGATTGTGATTAAATTTTACTAGTAGATTCTACGAATTGAATTCTATAAGATGTTGGTTTGCTATAATTAGTCATGCATTTTTGTTATTTTTCTCTTTATTTTTGGATTTTCTAATTTATTTAGAATTTAGAATTTTTAAATTTTTAAAATTTCCAATCTATTTAAGTTGATCTTTAGATTTATTTAAAAAAAATTCAACCAAAAATGAAATATTTAATATAAAATTCTGAATTAAAATTTTCATATGATAGCCATACTGGACAAAATTACCAACCTATACAACAACGCATGCTCAAAAGTAGGCTTTTGACTAGAAGCATGCCCTGCGGAACCATTGCTCAAAAGTAGGCGCGGTAGTATCTTAGTAATTAAATTCTTAGGAACATTATCATATCAATTCTTGGATAATTATATTTATTTTCACTATCCCCATTGTGTTATCCATATTATCATATCCTATACCCATAAGAAATGTTTAACTTTAATTTTATTCTATGTAAGATCCAACAATAAAAATTTTCTTGCTAACAATTTCTAGTAAATTTATTTTCTATCACACCTACCCATCTTAATATACTCTTTCAACCTAATTAACCATTTTTAGAGTTAATTAGTGGTGGAAATCGAATTAATAAGATTCACACATCCAAGAAAAATGAGTAAAAAAAATTAAAATTAAAAATATGAATATGAATATATTATATAATATATATTCCACATTTTCGATAGAAAATCAATTTAAAATATTAATCAATGTTGGATTTTTTAAATAAATACTAAGCATCACTTGATATTGAATTTTTTTATTAAAAAAGGCTTAATAAAAAACTAATAAGAGTGAAAATGAAATATAATTTAAAAATAACAAATTTAAAATATGGATATATTATATAATCTTTTTAAATGTTGTGTATTTTTTTTTAACAAAAAAAATTAAATCATATAAATATTGACTTAATATAATTCAATTGATTTTGTAGATCCAAAAATAATTTATACAATCTATAAAATTATAATTTAATTAAGAAATTTAAATAATGTTTTTTTAATATTAAAACAATAAAATACTTGTTAGTGAATATGACAAAAAATTTAAAAAGGTTTATGTTTAATAATATACTTAGATAAATCGGATCAGATGAGAGTAGAGGTAGCATGCTAGGTTGAGGGTTGAATTGTTTATGTTTGGTCAATTACAGCTAACGCAGTGGATTGCTCGGGATATGGCGTCCAGTCGAGTGGTTGTCAGATTGACGTGCCACCGTTTTTGATTTGGCTGTATTTTGATTCCGCCGATTATGACTGAATTATCGTTGATATTTCGAACCCTTTTGAGAAATGAAACTTTCCCGTGAAAAATCTGGGAAATTAGCCCATATATTTTTTACCCAGACAGAAAGCATATCTATGCGGTAATCTACTAGTGTATGTTGTTCTCCACGGTGCAGCTCAAATTTATTTATTTTGTTTCTTAAAATCAAACAATGTCAAAAATGGATCAAATAACTTGACCCGGTCTGGATCTTACTTGAAATTAACCAACCAAGCAGAGATTTAAAAATATTGAAGGTAATAAAAGAAAATCATTCAAGCCTTGCTAGAGGATAGAGAAGAGAAGAACATCGACGACGCCCTGTTGTCTAATCCTCTAAACTTGAACTCCATGGTATTGTCTGTACAAAAAGTAGAAAAAAAGGAGCTCCCTTGGAGATTCTGACTGGGAAAAGAACGATAAAGATGGCAAGTTTATAATCAATACAGGTGCATCCATGCTTGTAGTTGTCTTGCCGTTTCTTTAGAGCCAAGAGAATGTGCACCGGGATTTTTATAAAGATTTAGACAGTATTTTTTTTTATTAACTGTTATTTAAGAGTTTATTATTATATATGGTTTTTTTTAATGGGTTAGACTTACACAATCTTTTTCATATTTCAAAAAATAAAAAAAAATAATCATATTTTGGGTTGAGTATTTAAGCCAATTCTTTGTGAGTTGAGGATCAAATCAAATCTTTTTATGGGTTTGAAATCAAACAAATTACAATACCATGGAGTTGAATATACATAATCAAACAAATCTTTTTAAGATCGAAAATCTTTTCCAATTTTTTTTAGGGTTTAAAATCTAAACTAATTATTTTATGAGTTCAGGATCAAACTCAATTGTTTTACACAAGTTAAAGAATCAAACCTCCCACCTCATTTTTTTTACGCGTGCAAGATTTAAAAATCCTTACTCACCAATATTTATAGACTGGCAAGTATCTAACCACTTAAATAACCATTTGAAAGTTTTTCTATGCATTTTAAGTGTCACTCGTATTTTTCATGATATTACAATTTTAATGAGATTGAATGGAATACAAATGAAGTACCTGGATTAGTTTTGAAAAAAAAAAACTCGAACCTTGTTTTAGGATGAATCAAAAGTTATAGAAGGTGAGGGTAAGAATATAATTAGAATTTTTCCTTGGATGTTCTTGTTTATTTTGTTGAAGAGATGTTTTTTACAGCGCTAATAGTATAAATTAGTCGCTGGGCATAGCTTTGAAAATATTTTTGCCCATTGGAGAGGTGGTTGGGCCGTTATTAAAATCATTCAAACTGTTTTGAAAAGCATGTACAAATTTTGGAATTTCAAGAAATGGTAATATCATTTTACAAAAATGCTGAAACGATTTAACTACTGGAACTTCTCAAATTTTTATTTATTTTGATTTTTTTTCAGTTTTCTCTTGTTTTTATGGGTTTGTGTTAGATCTTGTGGGTGTGGAAATTTATTTCTAAACAAATTAAAAATTATTTAAAAACTCTTTTTATAATATCTTTTTTTTTGTTTTTTTTATAATATCTTTTTATAATATCTTTATCTTTGAAGTTGAAAGCCATTATTGCATCAAGATTATTGTATGAAGGGCATCACTTCATACCTTACTTCTTTAATGTTTTTCCTAAATGATTACATTCTTTTGAATCCTATCTAAACCATCAAAAGTCTGCACAACATAAAAATTCAAATAATAAACATATCTCACATTCATGAAATAAAGCTTCTTACCCTAGTTTTTATACATGTCTAAACTTTGTATTTAATCATCATATAATTTAAATAGTACTTATGCATGTTCCGTATAAGTATTCAAAGAAATATATAAAACACCAATGTATGTTTCATACAAATATCAAAGCAACATATCATAACCTAATTTTTAGATTTTTTTTTTAAATTATCCTTTTTATTTAAAATAAAAAAAATAAAAAATACTAGCAACTTGGTAGAAGTAAGCTAAGAAGTATTGCAAACATATAAAAGTACTAAACTTAGATTTTAAATATAATTGAAAGTCTATTTTTTATTTTATTGTATCCAACATTGAAAAATAATGTAGATTTAACGAAAAAATAATTAAGGATTAAATTGAAAAAGAATAAAAAATAGTAATAAAAAATTAAGATCAAAATTAGATAAAAAAAACTAAATAAAATAAAACATTAAAGTATAAAATTGAAAAAAAATGACAAGTAAAAAAAAAGAAAATAACAATAAAAAATAAAATCAAAATCAAATAAAAAATAAATACAATAAAATGATAAGCAACGAGATTGAAAAACAAATAAATCAAGAAAATTAATAAATGTTTAAATCATATGTTTTCTAAATAAATAAATGGAAACGTGATGTTTTAACATAGCACATGAAAATAAAGATCTAAGGAACCAAGCACAATAAAACATAAAGAATTTGTAGCTGAATTTAATAAAATTGAAAAAAAAATAATATCAAAATTAAAAAAAAAAAAACTGAACTACTATTCGAATCAAGGAACCAAGCACCATAAAGAACTTGTAGCTGAATTTAATAAAATCGAAAATAATTGAATATCAAAATTAAAAAACTGAACTACAATTCGAATTAAGCTCGAAATCGAATAATGAGGAAGAGAGTAAACGCGATTTCTTTTCTTACATCTGATAAGCTAGTTTTTTTTTTAATTCAATTTTAATTTATTAAAATCAATTGATTTTAAAGGGTTTTTTATATGTATATTTTTTGCAAATCATATGCTTGCCCAAGTCTTCTTCTGTTATTTTTTTTAGGTGAATCAGCTGGTCTGGAATTGCAGTAATGATTTTTTTTATTTTTAAAAATTTATTTTTAATATTATTATATTAAAATAATTTAAAAATAAAATAAAATTAATTACAAATAAAATATTATATTAAAATAATTTAAAAATAAAATTAATTACAAATATAGTAAAATAAAAAATTTAAATTTTTTCAAAAATATTTTTAAAATTCCAAAATAACCGCAGCATAGAAGCCCAACGAGGGAACAAGAAGCAGAAAATCCAAAGATCGAGGATGTAGGTTTCGATTGTTGAGGGTGTTTATTCCGATTAGCCTTAAATTTAACAAAGAGAACTCTATCAAGTGCATGTACTTTTTTTTGGTCATCATTTCTTCTCAAAATCCTAATTATCACAATCAATCTTCCTTGATTCGGGCTATCATTATCGAACAACTCTTTGAAAATTCTGTGAAATGACAGCTGTAGTTGCATGGAGGACCCATTTATGCTTTCACCATCCTCTCTTATTCCATGTTTGAAATCTTTCTTTCACTCAAATAGTTATAATTATAATTATAATGAAAGATTCGATCTTGTTTTTATTTTTCAGTTCTTGAAATGTTTTGCAGATTCGGCATTGCAGCAGCTCTGTTATAGCAGTTGCATCAACCACTGAACACAAAGAAGAGGGTCGTCTTCCAGTAATTAATTCTGCCTCCAAAAAAGAAAAAGGTGTGTTTTGTGCTTCTTTTTGTTGTTTTAAATACTGGGTTATGTTTAATTTTTCTTATTTGAAGCAGTAAATGGTGAAAGAAAGGCACCTGAATGGAAGAAGCTGGACGCTGAAGAACTTGGAATCAGTAATTCAATGATATCAAGACCTACAAGAGTTGTGCTTAATGGGCTCAAGAAGAAAGGTTGGATCATCTACATGTGCTATTATTCTTGTTTTTGTGGTTTTTCTTTTGAAATGCATTACTTTTATTGTTAGATATGAAAATGATCCTTGGTTTGGTGTAGGATACGAGGTCTACCTTGTTGGAGGTTGTGTAAGGGATCTTATCTTAAAGAGAATCCCAAAAGACTTTGATGTTGTAACTTCAGCTGAACTCAAGCAGGTTTTCTCTACCCAAATTCTTTGTTTCCCCCCTTTCCCAGTGTGTATTGACAATTGGTTTCGTTGGAAATTGGAAAGGCGTCACATAATTAAACAATTACACTGTGCCTTTTATCGGGCGACATAAAGCTTGATGGCTAGAATGAATTTTTTGAAATGTAATTGAGAACTATACAAGCACATTGTCGAAGGAGCAGGATGATGCTTGCAAAGATAAAAATTATGCCATTTTAGATCCTACTGTGGAAGTAAAATGGCGTTCTATTTCCCTGCCCTGGTCAGTGGTCATATACATTACCCTCTAGAACTTTAAATTCCCTCCAATCTCCATTAATCTCAAACAAATTCATATGTTATGGATACTGTATGAATTGATCTCACTGACGAAATTCATCAATTTGAAATCAATCAGTATTCATAAATCTTATACGAAATCTATCTCAGATTACATTCTTCGGGCTTGATCTTATTCTTACCAATTATGGGCCCTCATGCTTACTTTCAATTTTTTTTTTTGTGGAGATGCTAACTATGCACATTAAACATTCTTGCCATTGCAGGTAAGAAAAGCCTTTCATCAATGTGAAATTGTCGGGAAACGGTTTCCTATATGCCATGTGCATGTGGATGATGCCATTGTGGAGGTTTGTCTATAACCTTCTATTCCATATTCAAATACTTGGCCAATAAGGTGCCCCCACCCCAGTCAGTTTATTTCCTACGTTAAAAAAAAGTGACCATGATCAGGTCTTATTCTGTCATATTTCCAGTCTATGCTTTGTACATTTTTAATTTCCTCTAGTCTTCTTGCATGTTTAGTTTTAATGGAGTCCCTTTATTGAATAGGTTTCAAGTTTTAGCACTTCTCAATTGAAGTCTGATGGGAAATTCAACGGTAATGTCAGAAAACCTCTAGGTTGCAGTGAGCGTGATTTTAAACGATGGAGGAACTGCTTGCAGCGGGACTTTACAATCAACGGGTACATCTTTGATACTTGCTTTTTGCAAGTTGGGATTAACAGATATCTGGCATTGGTTGTCTTTCTTTTAGCAAATTATGGTAGATAAGTTGTCTGAGAACTTTGCATAATTACTTGAAGGCAATTTTGTAACTTTGATTTTGTGATTACCGTATGCTTTGGCAGGTTGATGTTCGATCCATATGCGAACATAGTGTATGACTATATGGGAGGAATGACAGACATTAAGAAAACCAAAGTATGCACACGTCTGACATAATTTCTGGTTCACAAGTTGATTGAGGCATGTGCATTCATCTTTTAATGGTTATCTGTAGGTCCGTACTGTAATACCTGCAAATCTTTCTTTCATGGAGGATAGTGGTGAGTTTCTACCTACTTATTAAGTGGTTAGTTTTTCTAGTTTACTGTTTGATATACTGTGCTTTCGCTGAACATTATGCTCAATAGTACCATTTTAAAGTGCTTGTGCTCATTTTTTATATTAATCATCTAATCCTGTCACTGATTAATCCCCAGGTCGCATTTTACATGCAATCAGAATTGCTGCCCGCTTACAGTTTGGTTTTACTAGAGATCTTGCTCTTTCTCTAAAAGAGCTTTCTCATTCTGTGCTTAGGCTGGACAAGGTATTAATTTCTGCTTCCTAGTCTTTTAATGTCATTGGTAATTTCACTTCAGTTTTTTTCTTTCCATGTGCATGTAGGGTAGGATACTCTTGGAACTGAATTATATGTTGGCATATGGATCTGCAGAAGCTTCTTTGAGATTAATGTGGAGATTTGGACTTCTAGAGATCCTTCTACCCATCCAAGTATCATGTTTCCCTTCTTGATATACAATGTAAAATTGGTGTCCATGAAATATTTAACTAGCTTCATGATGCAGGCATCTTATTTTGTTTCCCAAGGCTTTCGAAGAAGGGATGAGAGATCTAATATGCTTCTGGTATGTGAAGATGCATGTTATAATTGTGTTCTACTTACACCTGTCCTTGTTTTACTGCCACTGTTTGCTGTCAAATATGTTGCATCATAGATGTTGTGGGCTGATTTTTTGCACATGATGCATTCCATCTGTCTTCTTCTAGCAAACAACGCCATCATCTTATTCTTATCTCCTGCACTCTCGTTGTCTTCAATAATACTGTTTTGTCCTTGTAAGACACCCCCCCTCTGTAGCATCTATACTAACGTAATTGCCCCTTCTTTGTGCTTTTTCAGTCGTTGTTTTCCAATCTTGATAGACTAGTAGCACCTGATCGGCCATGCCACACTAGCTTATGGTGAGATGTAGTTGGTACTGCTGCAATCATATGGTCAAGTTTTTTTTACAAGTTTTAATCATTTATACGAAGATTTTGTTTTCTGGTTTGCATAAATTAACTTGCATAATTAGTCACATTTAAAATGGAGTCTGTTGTTTGATAATCAAAATAGTGTTGTGCAATTTGCATCCTTAGCTGTGATAAGGATTGTACTGAGTTGAAGAAAAGAAGGCGGGCTGTTTCGTGATTTTGGATTTATATTTCCAATCCTTCAGGATAACTGTTGCAGTGTGTATTCTAGTGATTGATATGTTATGCATGCATGTCTGGAATAGTTACAAGATAATTACTGGATTACATTGCACAGGTTAGGCATTTTCGCTTTCCATAAGGCTCTGGTTGATCAGCCTCAAGATCCATTGGTAGTTATTGCATTTAGCCTTGCTGTCCGCAGTGGTGGATCTTTACTGGAATCCGTGGAAATTGCAAGGAGGATATCCCAACCATATCAATCCAATTTCCCCGAATTATTGGAAGTACAGAATCCAGATTCAAATAATGCATTGATGCATAAAACCATCAATTTTGCTGCACTGGTCAAAACTGCGTTATGCAATATGACTGATGGATGTTATGTCTCTAAAGCAATGGTTAGATACCCCAAAGCACCATCCTCAGATTTGGTGAGGATTTATTTCTGCAATTCATCTCTCGTGTCTTATTACACCAGCTCTGCTTTTGTTTAGCAACATAAATGAATCAGTAATCTGTGTCATACTACTGTGAATGAGACCTAAACATCTGTACATAATCAATGTACCTTTGTGCATCTATAAATAAACAAGAACAATCATAATCATCAATATATGATAATTTTTTGGGTTACTGGCCATGTCAGGGCATATTCTCGCATACAAAATATTGATGGATGAATCTCTCATTCCATTGTTTATATAGAGTTTCGTTAGTTGTTACTTGCTAATATTCCCCGCTATCTATTATAATCTTGATGGAAAATTACCTTATATCGATTTCCTGTCTAGAATTTGCATGTCTGATGAAGCCTAAGCATAAATGAGATGACTTGTTCTTCGTCGAAGTTTAATCAGATATGTAACTTGCACTATATTGATTCATCATTCTGAACTGATGGACCGTTTTAAAGGGTATTGTTACTATTATTATTAGCCACTTGATGGTTTTATTTTACCGCATGCTGGTGCTGCGTCTTAATTTTCAGGTTTTTATCCCCATGGCCTTGTTTCTAAAAGTGAGCAAGATTTTTGAATGCGTTAGAAGGGGCATGGAGACAAGATTTGTGCGCAGACAGGGGCGGAAGATTGACTATGAGTGTTTGGCAATGGGTAGCTTGGAGGAGGTTAGACATGTATTTGCAAGGATAGTTTTCGACACTGTTTTCCCTCCAATTCAAAGACCTTGACCGTACATTACCATTTGATTAATGACTTATTTACCATCCAATCTATCAGAGTTTTTTTTATGACCTCTGCATGATATATGTGGTGTATTTCGAGTCATCATATACCATCTGGGGAGGCAAGCTAGGTTTTATGTGATATTGAAGTTAACACAAGCACCTCGAGAAATGAAAATTAGGTCAGAAGTTTTTTAAATGCTATGATTGCTTGGTTTTTCCCCAGTGGTTTTGTAGTACACCATTCCTGATTCTGTCAGCTTTATAACCCTCTGTCTGAAGCAAGCTCTCGACAGTGGTTTTTGTTCAAATCCAAGCTCCCTGTCACCGGCAACCAATCCAAAGGCAGTGCAATAGTCAACGTAGGGTATGCGAAGGGCAGAGTTGCTTCTGTGTAGATGTGTTTTTGGAAAAATGTCCTTAAACCTTCCAAGGGTACGGTTGATCCTGGGAACACTCTCCCTCTTTTATTTAAAAAATTATATTTACATATCGTGAAAGTCAGATTTAAAATTTGTTAAAAGACTAAAATTTGTTAAAAGACTAAAATACTCCTAATTTGATTCTCTTTTTTTTTTTTACCCTTCCTTATTTTCTCTCTCCCCCCTCTCTTTCTTTACCCATGTCTAGATGAGGCTTCTGTTTCACTCGTTCTGGTTTAAAAATAAAACAAATGAAAATAAATTTTATCTCACTTGAAATTTTAATTTTAATTTATAATTTATATTATAAGTTTTACAAGTTAATATAATTAATTTGAACTTTTTTATTAATTAATTTTCTTAACTTTTATCATTAAACATCTTTATTATTTGATTAATTATGAATTAATATTTGTTGTTTATTTTAGTTTGTTTTCTATAAAAAAAATTTAATCTTATAACTTGAGTGTGTCTTAAATATTTTTTTAATTCAATTATATTTTTGTCAAATATTCAAGTTGTTTTCGGTTGATTGAGTTATATTAGATCAACTCTTATATTTTTACTTGTATTTAAAATTTAAAATACATAATTTTAAGTAAATTTATCTTTGAATATGAATTGAATTTTTTATATAAAGTTAATATTTTAAATTTTATATGTATTAACAAATATACTAAAACATGTTGGGAAAGTATTTGTTCTTTTTTTTTGTCTTTCCCCACATTTATTTTTGTTTTTCTCTCTCTTTTTTTTTGAGTTTTACACGTTTTTTTTCTTTTTTTCTCATGATTGTCTTCTTTTTATTCTTTTTGTTTTGTTTTTTAAATTATTTGTGTTGATTTTTTTTAATATTGAACTAATTAAAAATATAGTTATGTAGTTTTTTCTTTAAAATATTATGGATTACTACAACCTCTTTATACATGGTTTTTTATGATTTTTTTTCTCAAAATATTCTTTGTTGATTTTTTTTATATTGAACTAGTTAGAAATTTTGCTTTTTAGTTTAAAAAAAAAACACTAGATTGTTACAATGTTTTTCTACATGATTTTTGTTTTGCTATAATGTTTTTTCACATGTTTTTTTTTAAATTATCTTTGTTAATTTTTTTTTAATATTGAGTTGGTTAATAATTTAACTTTAATTTTTCCTCACATGTTTTTTTGCTTCTTTTTTTTTCAAAAATATTTTTTTTCAAAATTGTTTTTGTGTAATTTTATTTTTTTTAATACGAAGTTAGTTAAGAATTTAGTTTTATATTTTTTTTAAACATGTTAAATTACTATAGTATTTTTTTTATAATTTTTTAAATTATTTTTATCAATTTTATTTTTTTATATTAATTTAATTAAAATTTTCACTTCATAATTGTCTTTGCGTTCCAAGAGGGTGACTGAGCCTTTAAATTTGCGACATCTTGGTGTGTTAATGGGTTCATAAGTCAATGCACGTATGCATTGACCAAGTTTCAACCTACTCTACAACTTGTCCTGACTCGTGAAGGAAAAGAGTAAGTAGAAAACTTCTTGTTGAGTAGCGAGGTGGCCTACTGTGCTGGCCTGTTGCTCAAGAACAATTGAAGAAAATTTGGTTTCTCAACTTTTTATATTTTATATTGTTTTTTAAAAGTATTTTTAAAAAAATATATTAATTTTTTTAATATTAACGTAATTTTAATTTTAATTTATAATTTATATTATAAGTTTGACAAGTTAATATAGTTAATTTAAATTTTTTTATTAATTAATTTTTTTAACTTTTATTATCAAGCATCTTTATTATTTGATTGATTATGAATTAATATTTGTTGTTTATTTTAGTTTGTTTTCTATAAAATTATTTTAATCTTATAACTTGAGTGTGTCTTAAATATTTTTTCAATTCAATTATATTTTTACCAGATATTCAAGTTATTTTCGGATCTATCGAGTTCATTGAGTTATATCAGGTCAACTCTTATATTTTTATTTGTATTTAAAATTTAAAATACATAATTTTAAGTAAATTTATCTTTGAATATGAATTGATTTTTTTATGTAAAGTTAATATTTTAAATTTTATATGTATTAACAAATATACTAAAACATGTTGGGAAAGTATTGTAGTTTTCTCCGTGTTTTTCCCCACATTTATTTTTGTTTTTTTCTCTTTTTTTTTGGGTTTTACACGTTTTTTTCTTTTTTTCTCATGATTGTCTTCTTTTTATTCTTTTTTTTTGTGTTTTTTAAATTATTTATGTTGATTTTTTTTAATATTGAACTAGTTAAAAATTTAGTTAGGTAGTTTTTTCTTTAAAATATTATGGATTACTACAACGTCTTTATACATGGTTTTTTATGATTTTTTTTTATTGAACTGGTTAGGAATTTTGCTTTTTAGTTTAAAAAAAAACACTAAATTGTTACAATGTTTTCCTACATGATTTTTGTTTTGCTATAATGTTTTTCCACATATTTTTTTTTAAATTATCTTTGTCAGTTTTTTTTTAATATTGAGTTGGTTGATAATTTAACTGTAATTTTTCCTCACATATTGTTTTTTTGCTTCTTTTTTTTTAAAAAAATATTTTTTTTCAAATTTTTTTTTGTGTAATTTTATTTTTTTTTAATATGAAGTTAGTTAAAAATTTAGTTTTATATTTTTTTTTAACACGTTAAATTACTACAGTGTTTTTTTTTATAATTTTTTAAAATTATTTTTATTAATTTTATTTTTTTATATTAATTTAATTAAATTTTTCACTTCATAATTGTCTTTGCGTTCCAAGACGGTGACTGAGCCTTTAAATTTGCGACATCTTGGTGTTTTATTAATGGGTTCATGAGTCAATGCACGTATGCATTGACCAAGTTTCAACCTACTCTACAACTTGTCCTGACTCGTGAAGGAAAAGAATAAGTAGAAAACTTCTTGTTGAGTAGCGAGGTGGCCTACTGTGCTGGCCTGTTGCTCAAGAACAATTGAAGAAAATTTGGTTTCTCAACTTTTTATATTTTATATTGTTTTTTAAAAGTATTTTTAAAAAAATATATTAATTTTTTTAATTTTTTTAATATTGACATATTAAAATTATAAAAAAAAAACTAAAAAATTAATTTAATATTTTTTCTAGTGAAACAGGCATTTAAAATATATAAAAAAAAAAACAGAAGGTATCTTTCTTCCCAGCAAACACACGCTTCATAAAGAACAAAGCAAGAATGTGGACTTCCCATTGGAGTAACATCTTATTAATGTATATCAAAAAAGCTTTGTTATCTCACTGTAACAATAAACATTGAAATATTAAAGGTTTTTTTCACTTTATCCTTGAAAGTTTTAAGGATTTTTTTTTTAAATTTAGTTTTTTATTTTATTTTTTAATATTAAATTTACTTGATGTTGAAATTTATAATTTATTTTAATTTTTTTATATAGTTATTCTAATATCATGATATAAATTATGAGTTTTGCATTGTATTGATTTAAGTTTTTTTTGTTATTTTTTCTCAACAATATCCTTCAATATTTAATTCATTTAAAAATTAGATTTCATGATTGTTTTTAAATTTATTTTTTAATGGTTAACATAATCTCATGACCTCAGTCGTGAGTTTAGCAAATTAGTCAAATTGATTTGAGTTTTTTTATTTTTTTAATTAAACATTTTTTTTGAAAAAATTATCCTTTAATATTTAACTGATTTAAATTTAAATTTATAATTTTATTTGATTTCTTTTATATGAATTTATCTCAATTTTTTTTATATGTTTGACAAGTTAGTCAGAGATGACTCGAATCGTTTTTTTTTAAATTTAATCCTTTAACCTTATTTTAATTGGGTTTTGAATTTTTTTTTGCTTTATATTACGTTATCATGATTTTATAAACTGGGTCGTAGGTTAGACCTATGACTTGAGTTCTTTAAATCTAGTTGATTTTCTTTTAAAAAAATAATTAATATAATGTTGGTTGAGCGTTAGACTCCGCAATTTATTTTGATTTATATTTTATAAAGTTGTCATGGTTTTATGATCTGCATTACTAGTTTAGCCGATTGACTTAGTTTTTTTATTTTTTATTTTTTATTTTAATTTCATCCTTCAATATTTGATTGATTAATAACTGACTTTTATAATTTATTTTGATTTGTTTTTATGAAGTTATGTCAGTCTTATTGCCCATGTTTTCCGGGTTCACTTGGCTTGTTTTTTAATTAAATTTTATTTTTAATTTTTAATACTAGATTGATTGAGAATTAAATTTAATATATATATATATATATTTGTTATTAGGTTTCAATGGGGTCATAAGGGTTTAATGACTTGAATAACTGATTTAGTAAGTCGGCTCATGTTGATCCGAGTCAATCTAATAAATTATTATTTTAATATTTAAAAAATAATATTATTTTAATTTTTTCAAAGTCAAGATATATTTTAGTGGGTTATCCAAGTTATTTTTTTATTTTCCAAACTAATTAGGTCGATGATGTTAAATCTTATATAATTTTTTTTATAAAAATAAATAATATCATGATATAAATTATGAGTTTTGGCATAGTATTGATTTAAGTTTTTTTTTGTTATTTTTTTCTCAACAATATCCTTCAATATTTAATTCATTTAAAAATTAGGTTTCATGATTGTTTTTAATTTTTTTTTTAATGGTTAACATGATCTCGTGACCTCGGTCGTGAGTTTAGCAAGTTGGTCAAGTTAACTTAAGTTTTTTTATTTTTTAATTAAACATTTTAAAAAAAATTATCCTTCAATATTTATCTGATTTAAATTAAACTTTATAATTTCATTTAATTTCTTTTAT